GTGTTCAAGGCCAGGCTGGATGAGGCTTTGAGCAACCTGGTCTAGTGGAAGGTGTCCCTGCCCATGGCAGGGGGGTTGGAACTGGATGGTGTTTGAGGTCCCTTCCAACACAAACCATTCCGTGACTCTGTTATTCTGTGAAATACTTCTAAATTCATTTTTAATAAGCTGAACAGAATGTTTTGTTGGGTCGAGGGTCAGGGCTGACTGGTATAGATTCTTCCCACAACAGCCCAAAAGTGAAGTACGCAGAAAGCTTGACAGGCAAACCTGTTGAAAAGCTGGTATTAATGCCTGTAGGTGGCATAAATGCAGCATGTAATTGCAATGCCACAGCTCATCCGCAGCGTTTACTCTGTTGGGCAGCTCAGTATCTAGTAAAGTTGAAGCCAGATTTTTATTTTTTTTTTTTACTTACACCAGAGTGCTTATTAGAGAATATCCCAAGATATTTTTTTAATATATATTTTAGATGACATAAAGCATATTAAACATCTATTTGTTCTTGCTTGTAAGTCAAGAATATTAGTTTTCTTTCTCTCTTTTCTTGAAAATGCTTTGAGTACCTACGAAACAAACCATCCTTTACTGTACTCCACATCACAAACTTGAGTCACAAAGTAGGAAAAATCCAGACCTTTCCAATCCAAAGCAACCAAAATTCCAACCTGTGCCTGGGGCATTGATCAGTGTCCACTGTATAAGCTGCTGACCCATGCTGAAGTATCCCGGGGGAATTAGCCAATGCCTTCAGCTGATGCAGTTTGTCTGGAAGCAGTGTATCCTGAAGATACACTCGCGGCCCTGAGCACTGGAACAGGTTGGCCAGAGAAGCTGTGGATGCCCCATCCCTGGAAGTGTTCAAGTCCAGGCTGGATGAGGCTTGGAGCAACCTGGTCTAGTGGAAGGGGTCCCTGCCCCTGGCAGGGGGTTGGAACTGGATGGTCTTTAAGGTCCCTTCAAACCCAAACCATTCTGTGATTCTGTGATACGGATCTCTTCTGAGTCACTCTGATACACTTCTCTGCTACCATTCAGCCAATTGCAGGTTATTCTTGACAGGAGTAAGGAGGCACTAAAGGCTAATTTAACACAGCAAACATACTTCGTAGATAGAACTAGCACAAGTCGCCTTTGACAAGGCTTTGTTGGCTGTTATGAAAGTCAAATATGTATGATTTTCTTTAGAATAAGGGTAAGCATGTGCCACTGATAATTGCATGTAATATTCTCACTGCTGCTTTGAGAATTGCTGTAGTCTGTATCGGGCACTGTCACCTCTAGGCACATCTGTGATGGTCATGGTTGGCTGAACAACTTTATTACTCTTGTCAGGTCTGAGAACTTTTAAACATACATACAAATGAAATTTTTTTTCCGAAGAAAATAATAGAAAACTGTTTAAACAACTTGTTTTGTAAATTTTTGGCCTTTTTTCTCTCCATGTCCCAGTTTTTCCATCTCCTAAATGATGTCAAATTCACTTTGCAGGAATGTTGAAAGGCTTTAATAATAGGTAGGAAGTGTACCCTTAGCTGGAGGATGCCCTGTAAATACAAAATGTTACGGTTAATAATGCAGATCTAAGTTACGACATGAATTATGAAGGATGCCAAGAGGCAATCCCAGAGCTTTCCAAGCAAGCAAAATATGTCTGAAATTCACTTTTGTGCTCTGGTTGGAAAATCTTGTGTTCATTGAGCACTGGCATGAGGTTTATACTTTGTAGGGCAAGTTCAATACAAACCTGAGGAGCCAACTGCCGAAATAGGATCAGGTCAGTTAGTAGCTGATGTCTGAGTTTTAGGCAAAGAACTGATCTAGGCGTGAGGGTGCCAGCTGGAAACATTCTGTGCACTGTCAGAGATTTACTATATGACCTTAAGGAAGTAATTTAATTTTATTGTTTCTTGAGTTCTTCATGTGAAAAAAAAAAAAACCCCAACCAAGAGTAGCATTTTCCTTTCCTCCCAAGGGTGTTAGGAGGATAACCACATTAATTAGTTGCTTGCTTAGAGGTGAGTGTAATAGGGTGGAGTAGCTAGAACATAGCTCTTCCTTATCTCTGCTGACCAGTCCTGGTCAGTATCATGTCAACTAAATTGATTTTTGCAGAAGGTGATTAAACACAATTAAATGTCCATGTTAAAACCGGCGCTAAGATTAGCTTTATTGAACTGAGATCAAAGTGGTGATAGATTCTGAGCTCCTTTTATTAAAAAAGTGTTAATGGGATCCATGCAGAGCTGACAGAACGATTTCCTTTCCCACAAATCCATCGTTATCTCTAAAGCTAAAAGATGAAATTAGAGTTCTTTTTTTAAACTACAGACCAGTCATTTTTAATTTTTTTTTTTAATGTTAATGGTCCCTGTCTTTAGCTAACTTATTAACATTCCTTTGGCAGCTTTACTCGTTTCTGCTGCTCAGCTTAAGGTTTTTATTTTCTTGTTGCGGCGCATCAAGAATTTTTTGGATAGGTTCTACAATTCGCTTAAAAGAAATTCAGATTTTGCTGGGGACACCGTGGCTGGTCAGCAGCTGTGGGGATGCAAAAAGGAAAAGCGCAGCATGTGCAACCATTCTCCTTTGTTTTAAGTTCTGAGAAAGTCCTAGTTAAATGACAGGTTTTCTGTTCGATAAAAATCTCTGTCCATCTGCACTCACGGGCATTAATTCACATCCAGTAATGACAATAATAATGATAATTATGAGTAACAGAGGACAGTCCCGTGGTCTGTGTGAAGCGCATTTGGAGGATCTGTGTTTAATTTTGAGCGTATATGGCTGCATGTTGTTGAACAGTCATTGAAATCAGTGGGACTCTTTCCAGCAGCTTCCCTGGTCATTGGCTGGGGCCCTAAAAGGCCTATTACGACAGGGGAAAATTAACATAGTTGTTGGCAGCTCATCAGCAGATGACTGAAGGGATACACTGTCCACCTTTCCAGACCAGAGCTGGCAATGGCCAGGGGTGCAGAGGAGGGAGGCTGAACTGCTGATGAACAGACAGCCGCACTCTTCTCCCGTAGGGACAACTTCAGGGCTTCGGAGGTATTTCAAGCACTTTTTTTACCGTGTGTTGTTTTGGTTTTAATGACTTGGGTGCAGAGAGCTGCCTCTAAAGGGATAGCTGTCACTTCCATGGAAAGCTACATGTTTATGGAGACTGAGACTTCTCCTGCCAGGCAGATTTGGGGTCCAGGCAGTTGGAATATGTTCTATCGACATACAGTCACAGGATGGTTTGGGTTGGCAGGGACCTTAAAGATCATCTAGTTTCAACCCCCTGCCATGGGCAGGACACATCTCCTTCCCACAGGAGCTTTGTTCAATTGGGTGGTTTGTGATGCAAAATCCCTCTACGCTGCCTCACTTCTTTGGAAGTGGGAGAGGAATCCCTGAGGCCTTTGCAGAAGAGCTGCTGCAGAAGATGCACTGCCTTCTGGTAGCTCACAAGGGACAAATTCCACCAAGATGCAGTTTTACACCAACTTCAGCAGACACATCTGCAGCACCATGAGCCTACCCCTTTGAAGAAAGGCATGTGCTGGATTTTCAGCTCTGGATTTTCCCAGGTTATCATATGGGGATTTTCCTGGCCTGTTCTCATGCCTGGAGATCCTCTGAGTGCTCTTCAACCACAGAGCAGAAAGGCAAAATCTGCTCAAAGAACTTACAGTCATAACAAAAGTGAAATTGAAGAATGAGCCAAACCATCAGGAATTCCCTGAGGTGCAGAAAACAGTGAATCAGCCTGACCAGAAGATACGCAGAGGTTTTGACGGATCAGCCTCCTCCCCCTGTGCCAGAGTGCTTATCCATCGTGGGACAGGTTGGATGGGTAGAGGTGGAGGACCCATCCTGCATTCAGAACTCTGGGGCTCTGCTGGCCTTCTCTACGCTGTAAAAGCTAGTAGGAAACCCCCGCTGCTTTCGGTGGGATGCATTCTACCATGAAGAGGAGTGCTTCACTGGTGTATCAACTTACTCATTAATTCATTTAATTGTACATTCATTATGTTTACTCATGTGACAGACTGACACAATCCAAGGCTTACCTTCAGGATTCATTATAGGTAGAAAATTAAACAAAATATTGCCAAATAGTAAAAATATCATTCAATATCACCTTGAAAACCCATTATTTTCACATTATCAACATCCTTTACGAGCAGGTCTGGCACCGCTGTACGCACTGCTTTGCCATGTGTTTTACCCCATGAAAGAGGGGGACCCATGATCTTAGTAAGTGGCTTGTGACAGGCAACGCCCATGACTTTTGGGTGCCTTGGGCTTCCACGGGCTTCTAGGAGTGTGAAAGCATTCCCCACTTGGCAGCATCCCCTCTCTTTTGTCTTGGCATTAGCTCCCTGCCCTGTGTTTTTCAGTTCTGTTACTGTGGAACCACCAGTAACGCACCCACAAGAATCGGTGAAGACAGTAGCACAGTGGGTGCCCACTTGCCCCTGTCATAGGTCTGTGAGAAGTTTAAGACAGCAGATGTTCATCTTGGTGAGCTCAGATAAGGCAGGTTGAGGTTTTAAAGCAAATTGCTCGGCTTTGGGATCTCATTGTCTAGTCACATTCGTTTATCATTCTGGGCCCCTGCCTGTGGACTCTTTCCATTCCTTAGCCTTTCTAAACCTAAGCAGAAAGGGAAATAAGTAGTTCTGTACTCCTCCCCTCCGTCTTCTTGTCTATTTGCAGCTTAGACCGGGAAAAGTAAAGAGTTTGGGGCTTATGCTTTCATCCTAGCCAGAGCAGTCTTTGTTGGAGGCCTGTCCGGATGACTCACACATGCGGATGGGCACATTCCCAGCTCTGCTGTGGAGGACGAGCAGTGCCGGCTCCTTCAGAGAGAGATTGCTTGTTCTAGTTGAGCAGCTGTTAACAAAGACTGCAGAGTTTTAAATAACCTTAATAAATGAAATCTCTTCTCCCTCTTCAGTTAATCAGGCCTTCCTTTCTTTGTATGTCAAAACCCTGCTGGCTCTCCTCTTACCCAGACAGTTTTTCATGGCAGCTAAAACCTGAATGCAGGATATAAACAGCCAGTCCTGTTGACTGAATGAAGCCTCCGTTTCCAGTGGCCTCGTGTCTTGAGGATCTGCTGCTTTTGTCCTAGTAAAGCACCAGGGTTGGCGTAAGCCTTTCGCACGGCTGGGCACTTGTCATGATTCAGTCTTCCGTGTGATCTCTCTGGAGCCTAGTGAGATTTATTCTACAGCCACTCTCTTGGGGAGGGGAGAGCTGTAGAGATCCTGAATTGAGGGGAAGGAAGTGAGATGGAGGAGCTGGTGCCACCACCTCTAGAGATATTGTGGACTGGCAAATCCCTGATCCTTGGCTTTAAATACTTGGAGCTGCAGACAGACGCTTGGAGGGCACGGGACTGCAAGCCCACATCATTTGGGGTGCAGCAGCTGCTCTCCCCGACTCCCCCACCCCTGCGTCTCAGCAATCGCTCTGCAGCGTTTGCATGAACTGGGTGATTTTTTTTCCTCCCGGCAGCGCAGAGGAGTTAAGGACAACGTGAAAACTTACATGCACTCTAAAGCATCTCTCACATTCTTTCCTCTTGCAGAAAGGAAGCTGGACTCAAAATCTGTGGTGCTTTCCAGGAGGATGAGAGAGGCTGAGCTCTGTAAGTTGCTGTCTGGGGAGAAGTAATCAGGGTCTGTATGGAGAAAGCAGAGCTCGTAAGCCTGACTAAAGAGCTGGTCCCAAAGTGCACATGCAGAAACTCCAGATCAGACTTTAGCTGACATCAGTGTCAAGCACATATTGGTCACGGATACTCTCTAAGGGATGGTTGGAAGTTTTGTTAGGAATTGCTTTTGTAGCACTCCAGCAGTGCAACACATTTTTCAAACACCTTCAGGAGAGGTTGCTAACAGACATGCAAGCATTAATTATTTACCTTGCAGTAGGTGAGCAGAGGTCCTAATATGTGTACCTATAGGTACACACACATGGACACACACACACATACAGAGGAGCTGGTTTCCCATATTATTCTCTGAGGACAGGGTAAATAAAGCCACCGACAAAATCCATTAATAAATAAAAAACAAGGGCTCTGCCTTATTACCAGTGAAACGAAGGGTCTCTCACTGATGATGCTGAGAGCTGAAGGGGGTATTGCACATGGCACTGTAGAATGGAGATAGGGAAGGAGGGAAATGCGAAAACACAGTGGAAGTGAAAATTGTGTGCCCTGGATTAGCTCAAGCACAAGGTCCAGGTCTGAGCTAGCTCACACATGGCAGAAATGGGCATCCCTAGAGGTGCTTTCAGCCC